TCATATCACTACATCCCTCCTTAAACATGTCTTCTTTGGCTTCTACAACTCAACACTCTCCTGGTTTTCTTCCTACTTCTCTGGCATCTCCTTTTATATCTCTTCTACTTGGCCATCTCTTCTACTTCTTTTATATTTCTTCTACTCCAAATGTCAGAGGTCCTCAAAACTCAGGCCTAACACTCTCAATGACTTTATTTCATACACCTCCCAGACAATCTCATCCATAGCCATCAATATTATACACAACACTGACTTTTGTCACACCGCTTCCAGTTGATCTCATCCATATCCATCAACATTACATTCCAATTCATGGTTCTAGGCCCTACCTCTCCTCTGAGCTCCAAAGCCTTATATATCATCCACCTAACAACTTGACGCCTCTTAAAAGGTCACAGGCATATTCAATCTGAACTCAAGATTTTTCCACACCCTCCTCCAGGGTTTTCTATCTCAGTGAAGGGCACTCCTATTCAGCAAGAGGAGCCAGAAACCTAGGGGTTATCAATAATACCTTCATCTCCTTCACCTCTATATCCAATCTATCACCAAGTATCTCACCAATACCTCCACTCCCTTTCACCAACACTACCACACCCTAGTTCAGTGTTTCTCAACCAAGGTGCTACTGGCACTTGAGACGGAACAATTCTCTACTAAGTAGGAATACCTGCACATATTAGAACATTTGGTATACCTGCTCCTCCCCTCTAGTCATTATGACAACCAAAAACACCTCCACAGATTTTCTGGGGAGAGGAATAACATTGTCCCCAGTGGAGAACCACTACAATAAACTCCCAGACTCGTCAATCTATAGTCAGTCTGTCCCCCCACACACCAGTTTTCCCCACTGCATAAAGGTTCTTTCAAAATGCAAATTTAATAACATGCTCCTTCAATAACTTCTATAGCAGAGGTGCCTTACTGTCCTCAAATATCCATTTTTATTTCTTCCTCCTGAATAGAACACATGTTGACTGAGCACAATGACACTTAGGTAAACAGCACATTTCCTACCTTCCTTGTAAATAGGTGTGATTGTTGACTAATGACATAAAAAAGGAAGAAATGTGATTGCTTAGAGCCATCTTGTGCCACAGGTGGAAGCTCCATGACAGGGATGGTAGAGCAACAAGATCGAGAATGCCTGGGGCCTTGCTAATCAAGGAATCCATACCAGCCCTGGACTACCTAACTTCATGAGAGAAATGTTTTTATCCTATTTAAGCCTCTATTTTGTTTGGGTTTTCAGTCATTCTCAATCTAATCTCATCCTAACATAGCTTCATGTTCTCTTGGGATATTTTACTTATGCCATTATGTCTGAGTTTTCAGTCAATCTCAGCCAAATCTAATCCTATACAATACAACCTCTTACTACTCTTAGAATAAACAAAGACCTTCAACATGGCCCAAGAACCTACCTATTCCAGCCCCTAACCAGTTGTCCAGCTTCATGTAGTACCACCACCCTCATACTCTGCTCTAGCCACACTGCCCTTCTTTCATCTTTCTACCTACCATGGTCCCTACTGCCACAGAGCTTAGCTTTCACACATGCTTTTTCCTCTTCTCTTCATCTGGTTAACTCCTACCCAATCTTTAGATCTTACCTCAAGCATCACTTCCTCTGGGAGCCTTCCATGACTTCTCCAACTAGATCAGACCCCCTCATTTTAGGTTCCCATAGCACCAGGTACCTGTCCTTCATAAAATACTTTTTGAGCTGCAATCTTACATTTGTGTGGTCACAGATGAGTATATACATTATATATATGTACATACATATGTTATATATATAATATATATAAAAATTCACATACTTCTCAAAGAATGATTTTGCTTCATTTTCATGTTGATTGTAGACTAGTTCCAAGTACATGTGTACAAACAGAGGGTAAAAAAGTTGGGATAACTCTGCCCGATGGCAGTCCAAGGAACATTCAATGAAGTGTTTCAGTCCACTATAGTATTCTTCATACATTGTGGGGTCTCCTTGTTGGTTGTAAGCTGACAGCACAGCACTGACATCCGGCTGGTCTTCCACAGCTACACTTCCAACTGTTTAAAAAAAGAAAAACAGCTTTCAAGAAAATAACCTAATATGCACCAAATGACTAGGGCTATTTGGCTAAGGTCCAGGGGTGATTGATATTTGTCTTTCGCCTCTCAAACTCCCTTCCCCAACACAATCACATAATCTTTTAATGGGATTTTTACTTTGTTTCAGTCACCTATCCAAAACTCCTTCAGCTTGTCCACATCTTAAAACAAAAATTTCTTTTTTGAGTTTGAGAGTACATTTATTAAAACTGGGGACAGTGAAACAAGGAAGGACTTAGGATAGAAGAAGCAATAGGAGACAGCCTAGACTAGGCTGCTTTGGCTCACTGAAAAGTCAGAAAAGTGGGTCTTGGAGACAGGTTCAGGGGGTTAGCCCTGGGCGAGCTGATGCTGCCCATTGCTCCCCTGATTACAAGTCTCATGGGGAACCTTAGAATTTAGGAGATGCATGCCTGTGCGGGAAGAAGAGAGGGAAGGGAAAGGTATGGGCATGCTAGGGGGTGGGGGTGGGGATAAAGTGCGCCAAAACAAAATTTTCAATTCAATAACAAGAGATTCAATATTTTTCCTGGAGCTACCTTATTTTAAAGATAAATTTTATAAAACATGGTATGTGCAAATCAAACTATATTAATCTCTCAAGGCTCATGCAAATTGCACCCACCACCACCATCCCCATGCCCTTGAGTAACATTCCCAGTTCCCTGAGCTAAAGTACTGTGTAACTTTCCTGTAACATCCTATCCATATGTGTACATCTTTCACTCCTATAAGCATTTTAAGGGTGGGAAGGACATGCCTTATTTATATTTCCAAAATATATACTTATACTTAAAACAATTTCCAGAACCACCATTACAAGGCAGAAAAAAGGCGTATTTATTTGTAATATAGCAATATCAAACAATGATACGTGTCAGTTGAATCAGAGTTTTATTGTGGGAAATTTCTAAGTTGCAATTATAGTACTCTTATGCTATTTACTGCACAAATGATATGAATTATTTTGGTTACTCTGATGGCCTTTTTCTCCTTACTGGTTTCTGAGTTATGATCTAAAATATAGGTCAAGTTTCTGAAGAGGTGAGAGATTTTAACAAAATGACCAACAATATCATTCAACCATCTTATATAGTTCATTCACAAATTTCAGCATTCAGAAAAAATTTGTCTCAATTACATTTTTGCACATTTCTATTTATGGGTTACAATGCTACGTATTCATACTTCACTTCCAGCAATGCTGCAAAGACTAGGTCTCACAAATACAGATTGATTTGGCTAGAAGCTCTGCACTGGATAATTTAATTCAACAAACTATTATTGGCTCAGGATCACCTTTAAGACCTTTACTGCATGAACTTTGTGAAAGCAGTTGCTGGGAAAAGAGGAGCCCTCGGGTGTTAGGAATAGATACGTAGGCATAAACTTTTCAATGCCAGCCGTTTTACATATATTATACCTGAGCCTCACAAATAACCCATTTAATAGAGGAAGGAAAAAACTCAACCTTGGGAAGAATAACTTAATCAGCATCACACAAGCAACAGAAGCACAATCTGAACCCAGGTCTGTCCAACACCTCTTCCTTAAGGAATGACTCTCAAACTTTGCCATACATCAGTACCCCTTGGAAGCATTTATTCAAAAATGCAGATTCCCAGATCCACTTCTACAGGGTCCGATTCACCAAGTCTGAAGTGATGCCCAGGAATCTTCATTCCCCAAAAGATTTAACATTCGTGGTAGTTAACCTGTATTTTAAGAAATACTGGCTACACTATGTTCCATCACTCCCTGGCTATGCAGTCAGAAGTAAATCTCTTGGCTATTCTCAAGTCTGTTTACTCTACTCTAAAGTAGAGATACTGTGTAGCTTACCGTGGAACTGTGAGAATTATTATATAGAACCTAAAGTATTTATGGTACCTAACGTATGCTAGTACAGAACTGTACGAATATTGTCAGTGGTCATGCAGACCTGCCCAAGGCTCAAAAGCCCAAATAAGAGAAAAGAGACCAAAAACCTGAAGGTCCCTGGCTCCCTGCTCCCACCTTCCCCATACATCCCTCTGCTCAACAGCTCTCCTCAGCCTCTCGGTGGAACTGACAGCTCTACCAAGAGGGCTTGACTGCGCAGCCGGCGCACTGGAGAAAGGGGCGGGCATGTGGGCCCTAGAGGCGGGCCCAGGAAATTCAAAACAAGCCCGCAGAGGTGCAGGCCCGCCAGCCACGGCGTTCCCGGCTAGTTCCCCTTCATGCCGCCGCTGCCTCCCCGGGACCAGGCGGCTCACCTTTCCCCGGAGCCACAGGACCTGTTGCTGAGCCCGAGACGGCGGCAGCGCCCGAAGCGCCGGTGCCGGGAGGGTCGGGGGCCGCAGGGCCGGGAGCCGAGGCGGTGACCCGGCTGAGAAGCGCGCTAGCCGCCTCAGCGCCGGCGCCGTCCGCCTCTCCCGGGGCTCCGGATCCCGCCACTGCCTCCTCCAACAGCCGGGCCTCACGGCGCAGTGCCTCTTCTGCCTCGCGAAGGTTGCTCTGCCGTAGAAACTGCAGCACCGCCAGCAGAGTCTGTCGGTCGTGGGAAGCGCCGGCCTCCGGAGCAGCGGCGGGCACCGCGGCCGCCCCCGCCGGGGCAACGGCAGAGACAGCCACCGGAGGTTTGGGGGTCCCACCATCCCCACCGGCTGACGACGCCGCCGCAGCGTTCCCGCCGCCGCCATTGGGGCCGTTGTTGGTAGTGCCGCCGCCACCCTCGCCAGCGCCGTCCCCCGCTTGAGGAGGTAGCAGCGTCTGCGGTCCCTCAGCCTCTAACTTGACCGCCACCTCCGTCTGCTCCTCCGCCAGCGCCGCCATCTTGCGGCTGAGCCACCTTGTGCCGTCAAGTGTGATTGAGTTTTCGCCACATGGAGGGCGGGGAAAAGGCATTTTACGACACCTCTGGAGGGCAATTTACGGCAGTAGGAGGGGCGAGAAAGAAGGAGAAAAGGAATTCGAGCAAGAGCAACTTTCAAAAGTGAGTGACGGAAGGGCAGGAAGTTGGAGTTGGCGACCGCCTATTGCATTTGCCTGAAAATAATTACCATTAATTGCAGACCAGCTATATTCAGGCACAACGATAGACGGTTTATATTGCATGACCTTTAATCCAACAATTTTATAAGGTACTACTATCCTCACTTTACAGATGGCTCAGCCGAGACCCAAAGAAGTTACATAACTTCCCAAAGTCACGCAAGAAGAAAGTGAAAGTGTCAATTTTCGAATCCAGGTCTTTAACTCAGAAGCATATATCATTTGCCGGAGGGAGGCTTCTGGGATACTGGTAATGTTTTATATTTTGATCTGGGTAGTGGTTAACTTTTTTTTTTCTTTCAGTTTTTACTTCGGTAAAAATTAATCGAGCTGCACGCCTACGCTTTGTGAACTTTAGAACACAAGTTATATTTCAATAAAGTGTTTTTAAGTACCTAAATTCAAAACTGAATGTGAAATGTGTGCACTCTGTATTCGTGCTACGTTATTCATTGTTACAAATTGTAAAATTTCTACATTTTAAACGTAAATTTAAAAATAGTATATGCCACTTTGCAGTATGCTTCTTTAGGTTATAAAACCCTGCTCCATGTTTTATCTCCCTTGAATCTCGCAACTCTGTGGGACAGGTGCAAACAGGAAGAGTGAACCTGGGACATTGGGAAGATCTAGCACAGTTATCCAGGTTGTTGGTTTTGAGGTCTTACTAGCTTCCTTTGACCCTGATTACCAGCTAAATGACCTAGAACAAGTTACTTAACTCACTCTACCCCAGTTGCCCAATTTCTGAATTAAGGACAGTAATAGTACCTACCTCATAAAGCTGTGTGAGGATTAAGTGGAATGATGTATATATGATACCTAACACGTAATAGCTATTGGTTGTTTTCACTTTGTTTTAAAAGGTATTTTGTAAATGTTAAGTCCAATCATGATGTTGATGGTGATTTCAAGACTGAAATATAAAACAAATCTAATTGGATCTGCAAAGATTATGAAACATGGGGATTCGAGGGTGAGGGGAAATGAGCAAGAATTGATTAGCATTTACTTAGCACTGACCGAGAGGGAGAACCTAAATCTGATGGTACATGCTTATGAGATGGGGAGAATTCATCACTTTCCTCAGGATCATTCAACTAATATTTCCGATTCAGTATTCACTAGTTGATATTAACTGTAATTAATTGAGTACTTAGATGAGCGATGCCATGAATAACAAGCCCAGATGTGTTTGCTATTCCCTGGAAAGATGTTTTACCCCCTTAGTAATAGTAAATTAACATTTTTTTTAATATATATATATTTTTTATTTCAGAGAAAGGAAGGAGGGAGAGAGAGAGAGATAGAAACATCAATGATGAGAGAGTCATTGATCAGCTGCCTCCTGCACACCCCCAACTGGGGATTGAGTCTGCAGCCCAGGCACATGCCCTGACCGGAATCAAACTGCGATCTCCTGGATCATAGGTCGATGCTCAACCTCTGAGCCATACCCGGCCAGGGTTAAATTACCATTCTGATGCATACATTAGTCTCTCAAATCAGGTCCTGGAAACTGGACCCACCTGTGCAACTATTGCCCAGATACTGGACTCGAAGTACAGCTACCCACTTTATATAGGGTCCAGCTTTTACCTGGCTTTGTCTCCAAAGAGTGTGGGTTGAGACTTCAGCTGAGGTTACTTACACCAAGTAGAGTGATTTTTCTGTTACCCCACAATAGAGATAAGTGTATTGAATTCCTGCAAGGCCCACTATTAATTTTTTATTCTCTTTTCCCCTTCCTTTCTGACCCCTTCTCCCATTTTCCTACTTTCTTTTTGGGATGCTTTAAGAGGTCTAGTGTCACTCTGTATCTTGTTCCTTCATAGAAGAGCTACTCTTGAACTCTGGATGTTTCTCTTTCTCTTTGATGTTCTTTCATGTCACTCTAATGTATCTAGAATTAGTTTTTTTCTGTCTATCCTGATTTGCCCTTTATGTACCCATTCAATCTGAGGTTTAAAAAAATTTTTTTTTAGTTTGGGCACTTAGCAAGCATTATATCTACAAATAATATCCTCCCCTCTATTTTATCCCAACTTCTTGGATTCTTAGGATGTAGGTATTATAATTCTATCCTCTAGGTCTGTTAACTTTAATATTTTCATGTTTACCTTTTCCTAATACCTCCCAGAAGAGTTCCATAACCTGATTTTTCAGTGCAATAAGTCATTTTTGGCCTAGATCCATATTGCTGCGTAACCCATTTATTGAGTTATTTACTTCAAGCATTATATTTTTCATAGCATTTTAAATTAGTTCTTCAAGATTTATTGTTCCTGCTTCAAGTAATCCAGTTGGGTAATTTTGTTCCCCATTTCCTCACCCACCCCAGGGGGACATTTGACAATGTCTGGAGACTTTTGGTTTTCACAACTTGGGGTGGTGCTACTGGCATCTAGCAGGTAGAAGCCAGGAGTGCTGCTAAACCCACAATGCACAGGACAGACCCAGCCCCACCACAACAAAATATTATCTGATTTTTAGACAGCGTGAAAGGGAGTGAGGGAGAGAGAGAGAAACATTGATGTGAGAGAGACGTCGATTGGTTGCTTCCTTACGGAGGCTGGGAATTGAACCTGCAACCCAGGTATGTTCCCTTGACCAGGAATCAAACCCGTGATCCTTCAGGGCTTGGGCCAATGCTCTAACCACTGAACCACACCAACCAGGGCTCTTATTTTTTTGAGGATATGTATTATTATCTTATTAAAATTACCTTTCCATCTGATGCATTTAATCTGTTTCATCTAGTCTAGGTCGTTCACTTTCTCACTTTAATGACAGTTGTACCTCTTTCTGCAACTCATTACTTTTCTCCATGAATTTGTATGTGGGTGTATCATTTACCTTGGCTGATACATATACCCAAAGGGAGAGGCTTTTCCATTGGGCAATGGAAAAGGTGAGGGGTGTCCCAAAAGGGCTTCATCACTCCATTTACTAACCCACATGCACACATGTGCATACACATGCACACACACATCCTCAGGGTTTTCACCACTTGTACAGATCTTTACTTTAGAGCTGCATAGCACTCCATCTTATGCACAGTCACTTGTTCATTCATTTACTCTCCTGTGTGTGGGCCTCTAGCTGATTTCCAATATTGTGCAATTACAGTGTTGCAGTGAATAACCTTTTGTATATGTATTTTTGTATTGTTGGATTATATCTTCAGAATAAATTCCCACGTGAGTGATTGGTAGATCAAAGATAAATGCACATATTGTTTTCCCAGATGCTGCCAAACTGTCCTCCATAAGGTTTCTACCAATTAGCAATCTTATCAGCAATGTACAAGAATAACTGTTTCCTCAGTCTCATGACCAGAATGTTTTGTTACTTTTTAATTTTTTCCGTTCTGATAGGTGGGAAATGGTATCTCAGAGTGGTTTATCATCATCAATCTACATTTAGCAAAATTGAATCTTTTTTTTGTGTGTGTGTGCAGTTCTGTGAATTTCAACACATAGATTTGAGTAATCACCTCCACACTCAGGATACAGAACCATTCCATCACTCTAAAAACTTCCTCATGCTGGTTCTTTGTAGTCAAATCCTTCCCCCACCTCTAACCCCATGGACTTCTTCTGTTCCTAAAGTTTCAACCTTTCCAGAATGTCATATAAATGGAATTATGCAGTATGTAACCTCTTGATACCAACTGGTTTCACTCAGCATAATGCCTCTGAGATTCATTTATATTGTTTAATGTTTCAGTGTTCCTTTTTATTGCTAAATAGTATTCCATTGTATGGATGTACCACCTGGTGAAAAATATTTGGATTGTGTATTGATTTCCTAGAGGTGGCAAACAAAGTACCAAATTGTTCATGTGCTAATATATAGCAATATATACACTGCTAGTATATAAGAATAATCATGATTTTTACATGTTGACCTGGTATTCCATGACCTTGCTTAATTCACTTAATTGTTCCTAAAAATGTTTGTATATATTCTTTAGTGACAATTATGTTGTTTGTGAAGAGAGAAAATACTTGCTTCTCTATTCTTAACACTACTGATACCAGATGTGTGGATTTTTTCCCCATACCAACCAATTATCTAACACTATCTAGGTATCCTACAATTCAGTTCTGACTATCTATAGTTATCATCAGATCCCACAGGTTAGGGGCTCAGTCTTACAACTGTCCTCCGCAACTTCAAATGTCAGTCCCAAGTCCAGGCCTCCCATATTTCTCACCACCTAACTATAAATTGGGGACCCTTTAACCCCCTCCTCAGGCTTGATAATTTGCTAAAATAGCTCACAGAATTTAGCAAAAACAGTTTACTTACTAGATTACCAGTTTATCATAAAAGGATGTAGCTAGGGAACATCCAGATGGAAGAAATGCGTGGGGCTAGGTACGGGGGAAGGAGCATGCAGCTTCCATGCCCTGTGTAGGTGCAGCCATTGTCTCAGCACCCTCATGTGTTCACCAACCCAGAAGCGCTCCAACCCCTTCAGTTAGGCTTTTTAATGGAGGCTTCATTATGAAGGCATGATTAATTAAATCATTGGCCATTAGTAATTAACTCAATTCCCAGCTCCTCTTTTCTCCCCAGAGGTCAGGTGGGTGGGGCCCAAACTGCCACACTCTAATCACATGATTGGTTGGTTCCCTTGTCAACCTGACCTCATACTAAGGCTACCGGGGAGTCTTCAGCCACCAGTCATCTCATGAGCATACAAAAAGACACTACTTAAGAGATTCCAAAGGTTTTATGACTTCTATGCCAGGAAAGAGTGCCACCACCCCACCACCACCCCCAAATATATGTTTCTTACTACGTCACAGCATGAGTGGTAAGGTGAAAGCAGACGTTCTTGTTCGCTCTTTAGGGAGAAAGCACTTAGTTTTTTATTATTAAGTATGATGTTTACTGTGAGATTTGTTTTGTTTTGTTTTGTTTTGTTTTTTAAATCCTCACTCGAGGATATTTTTCCCATTGCTTTTTAGAGAGTTTGGGAGAGAGAGAGAGAGAGAAGCATGATGTGAGAGAGACACATCAGTTGGTTGCCTCCAGCACACCCCTTTTCCCTCCCCTAAGACCATAATAGAGGATACCTCTTGGGGTTCTATCTGCCCACAGCTGGCTCACAGCTCTGAGTTTCAGCTCGTTTCTTGGGTCCAGGCTAGGAGATACCAGAGGAAAAACAAAATTGGAAATGCAGTGATGGTTCAATGGTACTTTGAGTTCTGGTTTCTTTCCCCACCCTGCCTTTTACCATTTGCATTCTAGAGTCTTCAGATAGCTGTTCCAAGCATTCTGTCCAGAGTTTTTACCTGTATTAAATGGGAAATTAAGTGCTTTTTATCTTGACCAGAACCCAGTAATATCAGTGTCGTTTTAATTTACATTTTCTTTTATCAGAGAATTTGAACATCTTTTCATATTTTGGAGCTGTTTTTATATTACTTTGAAGGATTAAGTTTTATCTCTTTCCTCTAACTTTTAAATTTTTTTATCTGTTAGGTTATCAGATATGTGTTGCAAATATTTTTTCCCAGTTTGTCCATTGTCTTTTTTTTTTAATATGTGTGTTGATTTCAGAGAGAGGAAGGGAGAGGGAGAGAGAGAAACATCAATGATGCGTCCTTGATTGACTCCCTCCTGTACGCCCCCTGCTGGGGATGGAGCCTGGAACTCGGACATGTGCCCTGACGGGAATTGGACCTCCATCTCCTGGATCACAGGTCAATGCTCAATAGCTGAGCCACGCCAGCCCAGCTGTCCATTGTCTTTTGATATTGTATATAATTTGGGAGTCACGCAGAAGTTCCCCCTTTTTCATATATACTTCTGGAGTTTAACTTATCAATCTATTTTATTGCATCTGGATTTTTAAAAAAATATTTTTACTAAATTTTTAGACAGAAAGGAAGGGAGAGAGAGAGAAATATCTATGTGAGAGCGAAACATTGATTGGCTGTCTATCGCTCGACCCCTACTGGGGATTGAACCTGAATTCGGGGCATGTGCCCTGACCGGGAACCGAAAGGCAATCTTTCCAGTACACAGGACGACGCCCAACCAACTGAGCCACATCAGCCAGGGCTATTGCATCTGAATTTTGAATCATAGATAGAAAGCTTTTCCTTTCACCCAAGATAAAGAAGAATTCACTCACGTTTGTCTCTAGAGCCTGTACAGTTTACAATTAGCTCTTTAATCTTATATACAGTATGGACAAAAAAGGGATCACATACTGAATCTGACAAGCTTAGGGGAGGCCCCCTTGGCATGCCTTACAAACCCAGAGACCAAAGTGGGCCAAATATTAAAATTCCTAACTAAAAGCAGGTCATGGTGGGTAGTCACGTCATAGGCCTGTATATTCCTTGACAAAGGTCAATCTTTAACTTTGAAATTGTCTATTGTCTCTGTGCATCTAAGATAAAATACCTTTTGAAATGTCAGAGTAATCTTTTTCAGACCCCTCGCAGGCAAAACTGCTGGCACCAAAGCAGGAGACCTCATTGTTGTCTCGTTGCCCCTATACCATCTCCATGTGCTGTAAATGTTATTAACTATCCTGTACCCACCAATATAAAAAAAAGTATGTGTCTCTGTTTTACTTTTTATCCAATCTCAGAAATTTCCCAGCTTTGTTTTCTCCCACCTCCCTAATCTACCACCAGTGAATTTCATATAACCCTCCTCACATCTCCTCCTTTGATTCTAACGTATAAAATAACTGAAAAACTGCCATTATCTGGAGTATTTTCTCAATACATTGAGATTTTGATTCCCAGAAATTGTCATCAGTTTCTCTCAGACTCTCATAAGACTTTTTCTTAGGCTGGATGTTCTTTTGTTGACAGTGGTCTGAGACATCAATCTAACTTTATTTTTTTCAAAAGTGTCTCAGGAGTATCACAATCTCCTCAAGTTTGGCAGTTCACTAAAAGTATTCACAAGACTCAACTGCAGGTTGTACTCAAGGCTAAGGTTTTTTATAGCCCAGGAAAAAGATGTACATTGGCAGAGTTCAGAGAGGCCAAACAGAGGCTCTGCATCTTATCTACACAGGACACAATTTCTCTCTAGCATCAAACTACAGGGATATATGTGATATGTCTCTGCCCAAAGAATCTTGCTTGATTTTTAGGATCTGAGTCTTTGGAGGGGGGTAGGGTGCTGGTCATATGGGAGGCATATTATGCTACACAGCCAGCCATGGCAACCTAAACCTATTTCCCCAACAATGAAATCAGGGGCATGCAAATCATTAGTCTTGATGTTTGTGCAAACAAATTTGACAAGCTGGGACAGCATGGTTCATTACTCCAGGTGTACACAGCAAAATCATCAATCACTGACATACAAAAAATATCCTGAGGGCTATATTCCCAGGGGTTGACCAAGGGTCAGTCATGGTTCTCGGTTCCCTTGAAGACAGGAAGGAAAAGGCAACCAGACCTGACATTTTAACTCTGTTCACAAAATAACCAACTTTCCTAAGCACCTTTATGAAAAAGTCTATCAGTCATTTGAATGCATCTTTTATCATATACTGAAGTTCTACACGTAGTTATATCTGTTTCTGGATTTTCTACTCTTTCTGGTTTTTCTGTTCATTCATACAGCAATACACAACATGTTTTCATTTAAAAGGCTCTATAGTATGTTTAATGTTTGTAGAGCTTGTCCATCCCTGTAGATTTTCTTTTCTAGTGTTTTCTTGGCTCTTCTTGCATGTTTATCTTTCAATATGAAGTTTAGCATCAATATGTCTATTTCCATGAAGAAGCTTATTTCTAACTTTTTCCCCTTTAATTCAATAAAGGAAATAAATATGTTTCCATTTATTTGCCAATCTTTAAACAAATTTTATTTTTTCTATAAAAATAAACCACAGTACAGAAAAGGTGACAAGAAAAAACGCATTAATCTCAATAGTCTACCATAATCATTTACACAATTGTAAATATATATATTTCATTTGTATCATTACAGTCTTTATAACCATCATTTGTAATAACTGTGTAATAGTCCAACAGGGAGCTGGTCATAATTTTTTTCATGACCTACTTAATCATTGTCTTACAGAAGAATGTTTAAGTTATACTGAAATTTTGGCTCTTATTAACCGTGCTAAATATTGCTTATTTGTTTATTTCCTTGGGATAGAGATTCCCAGAGTGAAACTGCTATAAGGGAAAAGGTGTGAACATTTTAAAGTCTCTTGCTCTGGCCCTAGCTAGTGTGGCTCAGTTGGTTGGAGCGTCATCCTGTGCACCAGAAGGTCACAGGTTCTATTCCAGTCAGGGCACATACCTAGGTTGCGGGTTTGATACCCAGTTGGGGCACCCATAGGAGACAACCAGTTGATGTATCTCTCTCACATCAATGTTTCTCTCCCTCCCCCCCGTTCCTCCCTCTCTGGAGTCAATAAAAAAAATTCATATGGTATCTTGGTCTATGTTAATAAATTGCTTTCTTAAAATAAAATAAATTGCTTTCTTTAAAGTTGTACCAATTAAATGTTCACCAGCAATCAAAGGGCCTGTTTTCACTGCACTCTTATCTTTGATTGTATACCATGGCTTAAAATAAAATAACTTATTCATTTCAACATGTGACCAAAATATAAATGTTTATACCTTCTGACCCACCAATTTCACTGCTAGAATTATGGAAATAGCCATCTATCTGGTGTTGCATTTGAAGGGATGTCCACTGAAGAACATGACTATGTAATACCAGGTACCTTCTCAGTATTCCTTCTTGGATCTTACAAACTTTAGTATCTCAGACTTGACCAGACTTTGGGGACTGCAGAAGGAGAGGTGAGGTCCAGTCCAGGGGCAATGGGTGTGTACCAAATCTGGTTCCGTTTTCCCCAAAGGAGCATAGTGACTTGATTTCCTCACCAGTTCCCTAAAGTGTATGTACACCACTCCCACATTAGCATTCATTTTACTCAGTGACAACACCTTCTCTCTCAGATGTGATTTTCCCCTCAGCATTATTTCATTAAGGAGAATTTGGCTCCTTCCTGCATGTGGCTTGCAAGCATCATGACCTTAGCCGGCACAGCACGTAGTCAGCAAGGAGCAAGTACACTAACTCCAAATCTCTCTCCTAATAAAATTGGGGGGTTGGGGGTGGGAGGGGATAGTTCTCAATTCCTGCTACAGTAGACCCTTAATAAATGTTTGCTGAATTAAATATAATTGACTCCATGTCACGGGAATCATGATGGTCTTCCAACAGCGATTAAATTTCCATCCTGTGGCAATACGATATTTAAATTCCTTCAAATAAATAAACAACATATTTCAAAATCGAACCTTCCTACTTCCTAATGGAAATAATCTTTGCGCTGGCTGGTGTGGTTCAGCGGTGAAAGCCTGGGCTGGGCGCCAAAGGGACTCAGGCTTCGATTCCCGGTCAAGGGCATGAACCTGGGTCGCAGGTTGATCCCCGAGCGCTACCGAGGGGAGAGAGTTGGGGGGAAGAGGGGGGCTCGTGCTGGAGGCAACCGGCTGATCTCGCTCACCTGGATGTTTCCATCTTTCTCTCCCCCACACACTTTCCTCTCTCCCTTCCACTCTCTCTAAAAACAATGGAAAATATATCCTCGGCGAGGATTTAAAAAAACCAAAACAATGTAAAAAGAATCTTGGAGGAAGAAACGCGTCCTTGGTATCCTAAAGTGAAATCATTATTATTCGTAATGGAACATCATTCGAGCACCTCTTTCGGTGCTCCGTGCATCAGTCGCGCAGACAGAACACTGCGGCCTGAAATGGCACCACCTCCGTCGTCTTTAACAGGCCGCGAGCGCCAGCCTCTCAGGAGAAAAGCGGGGTGACGTCCCCGGACCTCAGGAGGCGGCCTGCAAGCCCCGCCCCGCGCACCTGGGCAGTTCCGCGCGCCCGGCGGAGGTGAGGGCCCGCGAACCACACTTCCCAGCGGGCCCCGCGGCTCCCCGCGCCT